TGAAGGGGTCCTACCCATCAGAATATCAGGAGTGCCTTATAAGCTAACTCGATAGAGGGAGCATTGCTTTTGTACGCAAGAAATTTTCTCGGCGCTAACGTGGTTAGGAGTGACTACTGGCGCTTCCTTGTGCCCCTTTACCATGATCAAGACTTGGGCATAGACGGTCAGAGTCGCCGAGGAGGAGTAATTCAAAGCCATCCCTCGGCGACTCCGATGTCTCAGAATAAGTCTTGATTTGGGGAATGTATATTGACATGCTGAGAAAAGTATCAAGACAATCCAAGTCGTCGCACTGGTGAGCATCGCCTGCGAGCAAGCAAATGGCGATGTTTCCAGGTCGTAGATGGCGATAATAGACTATGTATCACCAAAAATAGCCATAAATGTCCACGACGTCGAAGTCTACATGGACTCCGGTGCTACAACCCATTGTACCGGTACTTAGGAAGATGCACCGCCCACCGCCTTGCGGCAGAGCGACACACTCCGATTGTCTGACTGTCCCTTGAGACACTGTCAAATACACCCTCCTAATCTCTTCAGCTACGAAAGCGCCATCGTTCCGCATCTTACTTTGCTTAAGACCAAAGTCAACAGCAATAGTAAGTGTAGCTCATCTTCAATAACAATAAGGATAGCCGCAACTACCAGGTAGCAGGGTCGTGAAAAGAACAAAGGACACTACTAATCAAGGAAAATTAGCAACTCAAAGAGTAAAAGGATAAAACGTAAGGAAAAAACGTGAAACAAATGAAAAGAACTAACCATGCGAGAGCTCATTCGATTCAATTTCATTAATTCACCAACTGTACAATCATGTGCGGCAGCAATACTTTCCAACGAATCGGTCCCTGAGACCGTGTAATCCATCTGAAATTAGAAAAAAATATAAATTAGTAGGAAATAACCACAACACCGCAAATACCAAGACTGAAGCCTCAAAAAGGTAGCGAACAGCTAGCCAACTTTTTCGATTTGAGAAACAAAATGATAGGAATTTGACCGTACTTTGGCAAGATTCCCACGAAAAACCAAGCAATTACAAGTCTTTGCGCAGTAATTGACAATACTGCTAAGAAGCTGACGTGCGGGTGAAAAATTTGGAGACTAATCGGTATGTCCGAGAATGGCACTTCATCAATCTGCCGATAATTCTAATAGGTTTT